GGAACTGTGGATGGAGGGAGAAATCGATAAGACAGTCACAAATGGAGTCTGGTGAATAGTGATCAAAAAAGGTTGACAGTTCTCTGTAGCAGACTTCTACAGTTCTTCTAAATGGTGGACTCGGACAGTTCTTAACAAGAGGTTAAGGGCATCAAATTAACACGTCAGATGGGCTGAGCATTTCCAGATGTTCCTCAACAGATCATCTCTATATTCTTCAATTCTGAATGTTAATCATTTGTCAATACTAGAAGTCAATACACGTTAACTCACAAAACTAGAAGCACAAAAGGCTCCGCTATATCTCAAGGTGAAGAACGCTTGCAGGATGGATCGAAATCTTTGAGAGTTAATTAAGTATGGAGAAACGAGAGCGATAGAAAAACTCAATGCTCTGCTTCATCAAACTCAGACTTCCAAACATTTCGGAACAGTGAAGTATCTGTTTCAATATCAAATCGGGGTTGGGCGACCGAGTGTTCCAATTACCATGGTATCATGTTACTGCCAAGTTCGGGGAAACGTTTCTCGTGGATAATCCTGGAAAGGCTGAGACAGGCAGGCGGCAATTCACTGCAGAAACTGAGAAGACGTCCAGATGAGGTACTCCTGTCCGAACCAACTTTTCACTCTGCGTAGGATCAGGCGAATGCCAACGAGTTCAGTTACTTCGGTTACTTCGTTTGCCCGTTTCCTCCATTTTAATCCCGGTTCCATTTGATTTACTACATTCTCCGACGAAGAGAAAAATTATGAAATGCTGTGGAATATCTGAGCGCATCGCTTTAATTTTAAAAGAGATGTATCAAGGAATCGTGTAAGCTATCATAGTTTAAGCAGAACTGTCTGGCTCAATATTAACCGTGGAGTTAGCAAGAGTGAACTTTTCGCATTTGCAATTCAACACTGCTATTGACAACTTCATTTTAATTCATCTTCATCTTCCATGGTCGCTTCTCCTTTCATATCGCAAAGGCAGACGGGTCAGACAGAGCTTCCAAAATTCCCAATCCTGTGCCAGAGTCGGAGCTTCGCCAGAAGACGACTGGAGTCCGGAAAAGACTCCGTACATATATTTCCACCAAGTTAATCTTCGCCGTCGCCTGGGCCTTCAGCCGGTCGCTTTCGCAAAAAACGGTGGATGGCCTACCTTTCTGGAGGCATTAGCTAGCAACACATGTCCAAATTCTCGCAGCAGTGACTTCTCCAACTGAAGAAACAGAGGCTATACACCAAAGCTCTCCCGCATGTCAGTATTTCGGACCATGTAGAGAGGCATGAGGCCAGCGACTCGTCTAAGAAAGCCCATCTCAGCAGCTTGCACCTGAATTCTAAGTTTTTCAGCCACGCTCCAAGACAAATGACAGCAGGTAAGCATGGGGATAAAGATCGACTTGAACAAGAAGAGCTTAGTTTTCAAACTCAGCTCAGCTTTAGCCACAGTTGATCGGCTAGTTCACGCAGAACGCCACTGGCTACTTCAGTTCACCGGTAGATCTCTTCCTCAAATTTTCCATACTAGTAAAGAGGACTCCAAGGAACTTGAACTTCGCCACCTGCTCCACTGCCCTCCGTCAATCTGAAGAGAGCAATGGGCAGGAGAAAGAAAAGGCACTGGCCTTTTCGTCCTAGATGCGCTCACACTCATGCCGGTTACGTCCCACACGGAGGCGAAACTTTTGAAGGAGCAATGTAGATCAGCTTCAGAACATCCCAATAAAACAAGGTCGTCTGGAAACAGCAGCCTCCTCGTCTTCACATCTCCTACACCGATACACTCATCGCCTTGGCTGCTGCTGACTATTCTACCCATGTACAACACAAACAGGAGAGAGCACAGGACGCAGCCTTGGTGGAGACCAGTGAAACGTAAAAGGGCTTTGACTTAACGCCATTTACTCTGACGCAGCACCTGCTATGAGAGTACAGTGATCGGATGGCCCTTAAGAGCTGACCATCCATCCCGTATTCTCGAAGGCATGACCACAGACTGTTGCCTGAAATTCGGTCATAGGCTTTTTCTAAGTCAAAAAAACACGTGTACACAGGAGGAGCGTACACGATTTCTCAACAGTTTGGCGCAAGGCAAATATATGCTAAGAGGTGCTTCGACCGGGCCGAAAGCCACACTCACTGCTCTTCTGTAATCTTGGAGCAAATTATTCCGGGGCACCTCCCTTCTAGCAGCTTTGAGTAGACTTTACCTGGGAGGCTCAATAACGTAATGCCCCTAAAATTCGAGCACTCCTTGCGGTCTCCCTTCTCGAATAGGGGTACAATAACGCCCGTTCTTCAATCCGCTGGTGTCTTTTCGGTAGTCATCGTGGTTTGACAGACACGAGTAAGCCTGTACATGCCGTGTTCGCCTAATGCCTTGAGCACTACCAGGGCGGATTTCATCAATTCCAGCAGCCTTTCGATCTATCAAGCTTTTCAAAGTTTGTATAATTTTATCTACAGAGATAGTAACATCCTTTAGTTACTGCTCTAGAGGCGAGTATTCGATTATTCGTTTACGTAGGGCTAAGGAATTCCTCAAAGTACTCTCTCCTTCGCCGAAGAATTTCATCATCCTTGATATGAGGGTGTCCAGACCTGTACTTGAAGACTATTAGACTGCTGTTCTTTTTACATCAGAGCCGGCGAATGGTCTGCCAGAAAACTCTGCTTGCCGTGTCAAAATTCAACTACAATACCTCACGGAACACCTCCCAAGAATCGGCTTTGGCATTGGCTCGGAATTTGGCTTTCGCTAATACTGTCGTTGCCACCTCGCGTGCCTCGTCATATCGCACGCGAGTAGAAGACTCTTTGTTTCCAAGTCATTTCTTGAAAGCTGCCTTCTTCTCTTTAACTGTCAGCTGTACGTCTAGTGTCCACCAGGAAGAACTTTTCTGACTTTCAGGAAACAGGCCTCCCGTTAAATCCGCAGTATTCGGCGGCAGCCTCGAGTACGCCGCTTTTAATGAGATGCCACTCGGTTTCCACATCGGTGGTCATCACTGGGATCTAATCAAACGGACTGGAAATGTTGCTGGCAAATTTCGCTCTCGCGTCCACCAAAGAAAATGTTTCCCATTTGATTCTCAGGTTGTTTCTGCCACCAGATCTTCGCATGGTACTCCATTTGTTACAGCGCAGCGTGCCAACAACAAGGTAGTGATTGGTTGAGAGCGCTGCACCTCTCTTAACGT